AAAGAGTGCGAATCAACACGAGTCGGCTCGTTGGAATTCAGGAGACAATGGAGAAAAGAGGACGAAAGGTCCCAGAAGACAGCCTCGGGTATATATCAGAGCATCACCTCGCTGGGCATGCAGAGTGAAAATCACCCAAAATGGGCAACAGGCTCCAGTAATGAGTCCAAGGGGGTGACCAAGATTGGAAAGAAAAAGAAAATGGGAGGGGGGAAGAGATAAATGGAACAGTGTACCTGGCGAGGGTAGAAATAGCCTAAGCTACTCTATCCTTTCGAGATGTACTTCATTTTCACAATAAACTTACTTGAACTTGGCAGTGTACCGCTTGCCTATTAAGATACGAGCGGCAAAGATATTAATAAACTTACGAGCTCACTAAGCCCGTGCTACATGGACATTTCGTTATGAAATGTCCATGTCAAATCTAAAACAACAACAAAGAGAAATAAACATTAAACCGAAAAGGAGAGGAACGTAGGGAACATCAATCCAGATAAATAGAGGATGAATTATTGTTCTGGGAGGATTGACGGCTAGAGAGCTCAACTCTTTTTGAGATTTTGGGTAGGATAAACAAGACATAGCAGAGTGAAAAAGTGCATAAAGGTGTATCAATATCTGCCAGACACAAGCAAAACAAAAAAAAAACTTACGGAAACAAAGCAGAGATAGTGTTTTTAAAAGAAATAGTAGGGAAGCACATGGAACCAAAACAAAGATGGCCACTGGCAAGAATAAGGCCAAAACAAGAGATTAATTATTATGGTTTTGATGAAAATATTAGTAGCAGTATTCACAACAGGTTGGCAAAAATAGAGATCATTGGTCGAATCATGTGGATAGAATTGAGAATTTAGGCAGCAGGAATGAAAACTTGAGAAAGACAGTTGCACCCCTGGAAGGTCAAATAAGGGAATTATACAGAGATGAGAATCACTGGGGAACTACAGGGAAAGTCCTGGAAAATAGTGTTAAAGATTGTTTTTGAAGTTAAATCAGATGTTAGTGAATAAAATAGTTTAGGCAAGAAAATTCAACTGGGGGAAAAAAAAACTTCCATCAGAAAAGATGGAGGAAGTTACACAGAATATAGGAAAGTGCAAGAAGGATATCCAGCTAACCCATGCACAGAGAAAGTAATATTCGAAGCAGTTAAGAAAGTAACCCAGCAACAACACAAATCTGAAAGACCTCGACCTACATCTTTCAACAAAGAACCAACACAACATTTACTACAGATAAACCAACACAATCCAACGCAGCATGAACTGGGAATCTGCTAATATTATGCATGTTGTGTATGCAAGTATGGGATATCAGAGCAATAGAACATATAAATATAAACACCTAAGAAACTGCAAAAATATCCGAAACAGAGGAACATGTCGCTCTGAAAATTGCAAATTTTTCACCCAAAACTGCATAAAAACTCACTAAACAAGAAGGAATGTTTTAATAGATTGCCCAGCATTTCATATCAAAGAAACCAAGCGAATAAAATCAAAAGTATGCAATTATGAATACAGCAACATCCATGCACACCAGGGAAACTTTTTAGAGAACTTTTTTTTTTGAGAGAGAGAAAGGCAAGGAATGTCCAAACTCTACCCTCAACGTTGTCATATAGTAAACAGGACTCAATATAGCACCACTACCAGAACCACAGATATTATCACAAAGTAAAATACCCAGCACTTCCACAAATATGACAACATCTTTCTATTTGCACAAGGCATCAAATCATGCAAAACAAAAGTCCACTTTCTAACTGGTCCCCTAAATGAGGTAAATGCAATGTTCGCAACTTTGACTGAAACTTACAAAAAGGATTATTATGATAATGAGATATAGATATCAGAATTGAATCTTTTCAGATGTGATTGAAAACAAAGGCTACAGGGTGGGGTCAGCCTGTACATCAAAGACTCGTTCATCTGCACTGAGGTGCTAAACACCACAAACGATATGGTGGAAGTGCTGATACTCAAAATAGAAATTCTAAATGTGGTGATTGTCCTTGTATATAAATCACCAGATGCAAATCCTCAGCAGTTTAAAGACTACTTACACAAATAGAATACTGCTTAGAAATCCTCACAAACCCTGCCCCAAACATCATTCTGCTTGGCGACTTCAACTTACAGTCCCTAAAATGGAAAACTGTGGCAAATACAATTATACCAGAGATAATCCCAGGAAGCAGTTTAAGTGAACACTCCCACACAGATAACCTCTTGCAGGTGTCTCATAGATTTGCCTTATACCAGCAAACAGCAGAACCAACTAGGAAAGAAAGCACCTTAGATCTTATTTTTACAATGATGAACTGACTACACACAATGATTACAAATACATGTTACTCAGATCACAACCTAATTGAAGTTCAGACATGCATGGGCAATAGACAGTCAGTCTTAAATCCAAGAGGAGGAGAATTCAGCAAAATAAATTTTAATAACAAACAAATTAACTAGGAACAAATAAACCAAGCCCACGCAGAAATATGATGGGAATGACAGCCAGATAATAGAAATCTGGCAAAATATAAATAAGAGCCTTGAGAAAATAGACACAGTAGCACTAGAAATATGTACAAGTCACATACAGTAGAGGTGCTATGGAGAAACTAAAAAAAGATACACACTAGAATGAGACTGGCATTCTCTCTTTAAGCAACGAAAACATATTGCAGAACATCTTAAATGCTCAACTCAATTCCAAGAATGACAAAGAAAGCTATGTGGAAAAATAGAAACAATTGAGGTAGCGTTACAAGAAGCATATAAAATCCAGGAGAGGTAAAGAGAGCAAAAGGCCCTAAGTGAAATACAAAGGAATCGAAAATACTTTTTCTCCAATGCAAAATCTAGAACAAAAACTACATCCTGCATTGGGCCCTTGTGCAAGTGATGGAACCTTTACTGATGACAGCAAAGAAATTAGTGAAATACTGAGGTTACAGTACGATTCTGTTATCACTGACCACATTGCAGATCAACGATCCAAACAAATTCTATATGAATGTGACACCACCACCAAACCATATATTAGATGATACCCTAACCCCACTCGACTTTGAAGTATCCATAGGCCCATGCACTCTTCACCAGGCCCAGACTTCTGGAATTCTGTATTCAAAAATAAAAAATCCTCACAGGATCTAAACATCTATTGGAGACTCGATACTGGTGTTAGACCCTGACATAATTAAAACAGCAGGGATTGCACCACTTCACAAAGGAGGTAGTAAAGCTGCTGCAAAAAAATAGCCCAATAACTCTAACATCACACATAATAAAAATCTTTGAATGAGTGCTAAGCAGCAAGATCACAAAACCCATTGAATCAGTCTACATAACCCTGGGAAACATGGGTTCAGAACAGGACACTCCTGCTCCCTCTCAATTCCTGGATCACTATGACATGGCCTTAGATGCCATGGAAGACAAACAAAACACTGATGTAATATACACAGATTTTGCAAAAGCTATTGACATATTTGACCATGGTGTTATTACAAATACATCATCGTAAGACTTCCAGGCTTCACAATGGCCGAAGAAAGTCATATGCAATTTTGTTTCTTGTGCACCGGAGTGCCAGGGATTTAATATCTTAAGTTTTGGAAAATTTGCATAAAAATCCTATATATTTTCTACTGAATACTAGACATCCTGCAGTAATTAGTGAGAATGTAAATAAAGGGAAAATCCATTAAGGAAAGAAACATGAAAAAAAAATGAAAAACTTAGGATGGGATCTGTGAAATGATGTTTACCTTACCTTTAGTCAGTTCCAAAGATTAATATCCACACAGCCTGGTTTCCGACTAGTAAGGAAGGGAGGTCAGTCATTCAGACAAATTAACACGAGGGAGAAGGTTAAGATGGGATAGAAAATGAGTAAGGGAAGATGCTTAGCAATAAGGACATCATCGGACTCTGGAATGAAGGTGGATACTACAAAATGATCAGACTGAGGTTTTCTTTCCCTTAGAGATGAAAGATGAGGGATCTGGCATATAATTGTGACTGAGGAAAAAAAAGAGGCAAAGATTGAAGGAACATTGATCACAATACAGTTTGCAGTGTCGGCAGCTGCCTTAGCCAGAGATAAATGTCGAGGATAGGGAGGAAACATTAGCTAGATTGACCTTCATAGAAGATGGGGCAGAGACAGGTACAAGAGGGGCCATTACTATCTACATCAAAAACAAACTGCAGGATGAAACATTATTACCAAGTATATTATTATTGTCCTTACTATATATAATCCAGGTGAGGGGGAAGGGAAATGTATCTGGAACTTACCTGATGGTCAAAAGCGAAACTCCTTAAACACTCATCTGCCCATAGGCCTTCAGCCTACGGGGACTTCACAAAACACTGCAATAACTTCTGAGTTAACAGAGCATTCAAGTCTTTTCTACAACTACAACCTACAGGATAAAATGCACTTCCTATCCTGTTCTATATTGAAGTTAGACAAGCTTGAAACTGTTACACCCAATGCCAGTCAGACATATTAATGAAACAGTGTGGATTAACATCTAACATCAGTCTTTTGGCATCTATGTTGTATATACAGTACATAAAATTAAACCTATACTGATATATACTGATCAATCATTCACCCTGAAGGGAACAAGGGGAGCCGGTCGGCCGAGCGGACAGCACGCTGGACTTGTGATCCTGTGGTCCTGGGTTCGATCCCAGGCGCCGGCGAGAAACAATGGGCAGTTTCTTTCACCCTATGCCCCTGTTACCTAGCAGTAAAATAGGTACCTGGGTGTTAGTCAGCTGTCACGGGCTGCTTCCTGGGGGTGGAGACCTGGTCGAGGACCGGGCCACGGGGGATACAAAAAAACGAAATCATCTCAAGATAACCTCAAGATAACCCTTGCCAATAGTTACAGCATCATATGTTCCTAGTCAGTGCATTTGTTTTTAGATAATAAGGGATTTTGCATGTTAGGTTGAATAATTACAAAGGCCTACTATATAACATAAAAAATTTATATTTCAATAATATTAATGTATCACATGACACTAAGATTTACAAGACTATCTCTCTGTTGAGGAATCAAGAAATATATTACAATCTTCTGCCTTCTAGTAGATAAACAACTCAGTCTTCACGGAAACAACTTGTCCTTACAACAAAGTGAAGAATTAAAAAGCCAAGAAATCTATATATTAAATGACAGTAATGGCATGGAAATTTGTGACACTTAGAGAAGTCAAAAAATAAATAATTCCAAGTTTAATAAAACATAAGTTATGTCTGATGAGCAATCAGAACTTAAAACTGTACAAAAGTAATAAAATTACAAAAAGCAAATACAGTAATTTGTACATTCCTTTCTATTTACAATGGTAAAAAAGATATCAAAATATGGGAACACAAGTCCTCCCCGGAACAATGGGTCCGGCGCTCAGGGCCCCAAGGTCAGGGGTCCAGGGGGACCCAGCCAGGGGTCAGGGGCGCCGTGCCCACCACACTGCCATGCTCAACAACAACCACCCTCACATTCCATACAAAAGTGACAGTAAAAACAGGCAAGGAAACAAGACGTTTGGCTAAAGTAGCCGACTGAGGGTGGAGCAGGTGAACCAGGGGAACCACATCTGGTGGCTGGGGCCTTGTGGGGCTTGCAGAGTGAACAATTATCTTAACATGGCTGTATGGGGGAGACCAGAGGTGCTCCCTCCTGACTCACCCATCACATTAACAATCATAGCCAACAGTGTAGCCATACCCTTGTAAAATTCCTTCTGGGGAGCGAGTATTTTTCCCTAACAAATGACAGTGCAGAACATTACATTAATAAAAAGAGAACAGAAATTGTGGCTGCCATCAGCCCATGAGATGCAAGTGATTAAATCCTTGCGTAACTAACATAGTGCATCGAGTGAGCAACACCAACGGTATCTACATTTGTACATAATTATGGTAGTTTGTTACATTATTGTAAATATTAAAGTTATTACTATGAAAGAGAAGCAATTATCATCTGCAGTCAGAGCCTTCCTTGTATGGGTATAACGTGTGGTGTATTGAGGGGACGTCTGGTAAAGGTGGTCCTGATTGCTGCCGAGGAGACCCTAAGCTGCCAGCCGGGTCTCCGCTTTCTGTAACGCTTCTGCTGGCAGCTGCTATTTGAGCCTCTAATCTTTGAAACAAATCTTCTTGTACATCAGATCTTGGGGGTGGACCCAGTCCTCCAAGACCATATTCTACTGGGCCCAGATTTAGCTGTTCAGGTGCTGTACAGGTAGGGGGTTCAACTTTCCGAGGGTATATATCGTACAAAGGAGCAGTAAGCCGATTAGGATTTTCCTGTTGTGATAACCGGGATCCTGCCTGAGACTCGCTTGGCATTGAAGGATTGAATGGAGGTGGCGGCGACGGAGGGGTTAAATTAGATATATTTTTTTCCGATTGGGATTCTGGGGGAAGATCAGGTGGTTTAGGAGGAGGAGGACCCGGTCCTTGGTCCTGTATATCAGGTTGAGGCTTTCTGGGAGTATTGGAGGCAACATAACCATCTAAGCGTCTAGATAACTTCAATTTTAGGGGCACTTTAGGAACAGAAGATTCTTCTTTATTTGAATCAGAATCAGGCTTTGGCAAGGATAACCGAATCTTCAAGGAATGAGGCATGATAGTATCTGAATCAAGCCTATCATCTTTATAACTACTAGAATCGTTCGTCTCTCCCTTGGAATTTTTAATGTTACTCGAGTTATCACTTTTACCTTTCCCAAACCTTATGACTAATTTTGGAGCATTTGTGCTATCCCCCGCAATCACTTTAATATCATGCTTTTCAACAGAGTTGAGATCCTTATTCTCTGCACAAGAACTGTGACCAGTCTCCCCAGAATATACCTTCCGTTTTTTTGCCTTCTTTTCTCTGTCTGAGCTCTTCAGGCCACTCTTCTTAACCGGCTTATCAAAGTCGGCCATAATTTGTTCGCGAAATTTCATGTTATCACTCTTAATTTTAACCATAGGGTTTTCTTCAGCATGTCGTTTCTTAGGTGGACGTTGCTTCCCAGCCAATTCTTTAGTGTCCATGGTAACAGTAGTAACTTCACTGCCTTTCTTGCCCAAACTTATTCTTAGTTTTGGTGGAGGTTTGGCATTAGACACATCTTTCTCCTCCAGATTTTTAGACTCTTTAGCACCTCTTGGTCTCTTTCTGCTGGTATCTCCAATTTCCGTTGCTTCTGAATTACGTTTACCTGATTCTTCCCTTATAGCCCACACTTTCAGATGCCTAAGCTCTCTTGGTGGTCTCTTTCTTCTACCTCCACCTGCCGCAGTGCTAGGAGGCTCATCTTGTGTGTACATCTTGTAATCTTCTCTTGTTGGTATAGATGTCATGGAAGCTACCGCCTTGGGAATTGTGATTCCAGTTCTTACATGTGGAGTTGGATTTGGAGTACTGTTAATAGGCCCCGAATCTGGTGGTTCAGCTGGCATTTGATCCTGATAACAATACTGCCGGATAAGTTCCTTCTTTCTCATTCGTCGCAAAGTTGAAGTCGTAGACGTTGGTGTTGGGGCCCCAACTGCCTCTTGTGGTGGAGCTGCTGTATTGCTAGTTGAGTACGAGTTAGCATAAGGCCCTTTAATTTTGAGCTTCAGTTGATTGGTTCTCTCATCTATGCCAATTTGTGCAGTAGGTACAGCGAGAGAGACTTTACTGTGGTCCCCAGCAGCTGTCTGAATAACTGTCAGTTCTGAACTCTGGTTAGTCTCTCTTGCCTCACTTATGTTTGATATTGTTAATTTAGTTTCAGATATGTTTGCTGTGTACTCCACACCAAATGGTGGCAAATTTTGCAATCTATCTGGTGTTTTTGGTGGACCATCTGGTATAGTGTCTCCATGGGGTGGTGTTGGCGAGTGGACACTTCTACGTAACTGGGAGTTCTGCATATTTCTATAATCTTCAAGTATTTTGGCAACTTTATCATCATCACCACTGTTTATTTTACCAGCCCCCTTATCCTTATATGATGACTTCGACTTTTTGCTAGATTTTTTAGGGGACTGTTCCTTAAGGTCAATGATTAATGTAGGCGCAGTTGACTGTTGTTGTGGGGTTGTGTCCACAGACTGACGCTTCTCACGAGATTTTCGAAGGTCATCCAAAGTATTGTTGGCTGGACCGTCATCATCATCAAATTCATTGTCAAAATCATACACTGTTCCCACAAGCTCTTTAGGCACTGAAACAGAATTAAATCTTGGACTGTGGCCTCTACCTTTACCTTTGCCTGCATTCCTCCCTCGGCCTTTACTGTAAGATGCTCTGTTAAGTTTAGTTGACTTCTTTTCTCTCGTTTTTGGACTTTCTTTGTTCCACCGGGGAGAGGATTTTCGAGATCTAGGAGGTTTTTTATCCAAAATTTTCTGGGGTTTTGGCTCTTGCATATAAATTGGCACACGTTTTTGAGTAGGTTCTTCTTTCTGATGAATAACACTATCATCAACAGTAATGGTTTCAATTTCTGAATCAGGTACATCTACAGTAGTGTGCTGTGGTGAAGATTCCCTTTGACTGGTGGGACTCATCACAGCTGGGAGAGGAGATTTATTTAGTGAGCTTAGACTAGTTGTATTTGTAGCCGACTTGGCTACAGTCATTACAGAATTAGATACAGTTGGCACCACATCCTTCTTTGATATGAGAACAGAGTTGGCAGTAGGAGACACAAGTGGTCTCGGGCACTTACTTCCTCCATTAACAGTGTCGGCAGATGTTATGCAAGCTGACACGGCTACCTGGGAAGCTTTACTGGACTGGGGAGAAACTTGTGCCTCTACTGGCACTCTGTTTCCTCTCAACATTAATACTGAATGATCGGCAGGAGATATCTCTGGTAGGGGTACACACGTCTGTGGTGGCTGTGAGGCTAACGAAACAGAAGTGTCGTTTTTGTTGTATATACTTGACGGAGAAGGTTGTGGTTGTGCAGTTTTGTTGTGTGGTAATACTGGAGATAGAGTTTCTTCTCTGGCTGCCATTATTTGCTGCCCTCTACTAGTGGTGGGTGAGGTAAGACCTAGGACAACTTTATTCCCAGTGGTTGGTGGAGATGGTAGAGGCACAGGTGCAGCCATCACACTAGGTAATCCCGGAGATGTTAATGGCTTGCCAACTTTATTACCAGAGGCGGCTGGTCGGTTATTTGCCTTATTATTAGTTGGAAGAATTTCTGGAGTGGGCGGCCGGTTATCGAGATTGGGTAATCTGGTCAATTCCTGAGCAGAATGTATGCTAGGTTTATCTGGAACCTGATTTTCCCGAGAAGGCTGTGCATACTGTTGTTGGTTGAGAGCTGCAATTTCCGAAGCACTGTGCTGCCGTAAATATGCTAACGAATTAAATAAATGAGGTGGAATGCCGGACTCTAACATCTGGCGTAACTGATTAGAAAGTAAGGCTTCTTGCGGCAGCATGGTACGGGCATTTAACATATCATAGGGGGTAAACAGTTGATGTGGAGTATCTGGGTAAAGAGCTCGTTGCAAATCTAGCATTGACATAGATGTAGTGAGGCCAAGATCAAGACCTGTCATTGGCAAGTGAGGAGGAAGGTGAGAACCACTACTGGGATCCAGTTTGTGGTCCTGCGGGGGAGGACTCTTAACCCATTGGCCTCGCCACTGTTCCACAAAATTAGCAGCTGGAGAAGTTGCACTTTTTGGAGTTAAGGTTTCTACAGATGATGCCTGAGAAGAAGGAATAGAAGATTCTTGTGGAGGAACAGAAAAACTAGATGAATTTGGCTGGCTGTGTTGTGGTGAAGCTGTGAGCTCACTCTGACTTTCAGAAGGCAGAACAGAATTACTGGGCTCTGGTTGGGCTTCAGCCTGTCTTTTCATCTCCCCTATGACATCTTCCAAGTTCTTTCTTCTTGTTGGGGACATAAATCTTTTCACTGACTGTTTGAATTCCACTGAACTTTGTACAACCACCGGGGTTTTACTGTTTGCATCAATGGTTTCTATACACGACTCCTCTGGCATAAAATTATTTACAACACTATTTACATTTACCACTTCATTACAAACAGGCTGAACTCTATCTAAAGGTTCAGGTGTAGTTATTGCACTCTTATATCCACTGTCCTTGGGCTGTTCTACTCGTTTCTCTCCCGACACAAGCACAGAATCGTCATCACTGTCACCAATGCGAACTCTCTTGTTTTCAGGCTCCGTGTCTGATGTTTCAACAATATCAGCTAATCTTTCAACCTTAACTTCCTCATCAACATAACCAAAAACACCAGGCTTTTTTTGTTGTTCTATAGTCACAGGAATGTCTAACTGTTCTTCTGTAGAACCCTTTTTTCTAACAGGAACCTCTGGTTCAACTAATGTTTCTGTAACAGGTCTCACTGGCTCCTCCACTTTCACTGGGCTTCCATCATTTTTGGCTTGTATTTGTTGTGGCTCCATTTCTGTAACCAATTCCACTTTTTCTTGTAACCTTTCTTGAACTTTGTCTGTATTTTCTTTCTCTTTTGCTTGTTCACTTTCAGTAACCATATCCAACTTTTGTTGTAATGGCTGTAACCGTTCACTCTGGGATTCTAGTTCGTCTTCCGAAGTATCCAGAGGAATTGCAACTTCGTCTCTTTCTTTAGGCAACTCATTTTCCCTTGTAATTTCTATCCTCTCTGCTGGTAATGTTTCTTTATCCTTATATAAGACTTTTTCTCTTGACACGTCTCTCTTATCTCGTAATGGCAGAACCTTTTCTTTAGGTGGAAATACTTTGTCTCTCGGTGGATAAGCTTTCTCCCTGGGCGGTAGTAGTTCTCTCGATAAAGTCTTTTCTCTCGAGGGTAAGATCCTTTCTCTTGAAGGCATGACCCTTTCTCTCGAGGGTAAGACCCTTTCTCTCGAGGGTAAGATCCTTTCTCTTGAAGGCATGACCCTTTCTCTCGAGGGCAAGACCCTTTCTCTCGAGGGTAAGATCCTTTCTCTCGAGGGTAAGATCCTTTCTCTCGAGGGCAAGATCCTTTCTCTCGAAGGCAATACCTTTTCCCTTGGAGAAAGAACCTTTTCTCTAGAATGTAAAGCCTTTTCCCTTTGTACTTCTTTTTCTATTATAATGTCATTACTCTCCAAAGACTCCGATTCTTTTGATAACACTTCGTGCTCTCTTGAAAGTATATTCTTTGAAAGTGGTGCCATTTCATTTTCTCTATCTGTTACATCCTTATTTTTATGTACACTTTCTTTTAAGGGTGAATCTCTGTCTTTAGGCTTTTCTCTCTCTCTTAGCATTTCTCTCTCGGATTCTCTCTCTCTTAACGCTTCTCTTTCTCTCTTGGCTTCTTTCTCTTTTAATGCCTCTCTCACTCTTATTGCTTCTTTCTCTCTTAACGCTTCTTTTTCTCTTAATTCTTCTTTTAATGCTTTCTCTCTCAATGCTTCTTTCTCTCGTAATGCTTCTTTCTCTTGTAACGCTTCTTTCTCTCGTAACGCTTCTCTCTCTAGTAACGCTTCTCTCTCTCGTAACGCTTCTCTCTCTCTCAATGCTTCCTTCTCTCTTAATGCTTCCTTCTCTCTTAATTCTTCTTTTAATGCTTTCTCTCGTAATGCTTCCTTCTCCCTTAAAGCTTCTCTTAATGCTTCTTTTTCTCTTAAGGCTTCCTTTTCTCTAAAGGCTTCCATTTCTCTTAAGGCTTCCTTCTCTCTTAAGGCTTCCATTTCTCTTAAGGCTTCTTTTTCTCTTAAGGCTTCTATTTCTCTTAAGGCTTCCTTTTCTCTTAAGGCTTCCTTCTCTCTTAATGCTTCCTTTTCTCTTAATGCTTCTTTCTCTTTTAAGGCTTCCTTTTCTTTTAAGGCTTCCTTTTCCTTTAAGGCTTCCTTTTCTTTTAATGCTTCTTGCTCTCTCTCTCTCGCTACTTCTTTCTCCTTTATTATTTCTTTTTCTCTTAAAGTTTCTTTCCTTTCTCTTAAGAGCTCTTTCTTATCCCAGGCCACAACAGTTTCTTTTACCGTCTCCTTTTTTTCGGAGGTGGTGATTCCTGAGGCTGTCTTCTCTTCGCTGATTCCCTCAGTGACCTTCTTGCTGGATCTGAGTGATTCCTCAAGCTGTACCTCTCGCCTTCCAGGGAGTTTGCCGTGGCTGGCACCAAGGCTGTGGGTGAGTGGAGGCGGTTCTCTCTCTCTTCCTCTTCTTGGTCCTCTGGGTGGCGCATGAGAGTTACTTCTGACGTTTTGCATGGGGACATCACCAGAAGGAGTTCTCGGTCGGCACTGAGCCCCACTTTGACGCAATCTTGACTCCAGTCCAGCCTCTCTTCTGACAGCTGGTTTTGTACTGGCATCTTCCATCTCAGTGGGCACTCTGGATTCACTTCTCTCAGTAATCGGCGGCTGAAACCCATGTTCAGGCCGCCCTTCGGAAGTTTTAAGCTTCTTATCAGGGGCCTTCCTAAGGGTTCCAACTGCCGGTTCCTGGTTTTCATCCTCTCTCTCGCTGTCAGAGGTGAGCCGTAAGTCACCCGAGATGTTTGCTGGACCATGAAAGGGCTGATTCTTTGAGGAGGACTCTTGGCCTTCATCAACTGGTTTATGAGTTGGAGACAGGCGAGTCTTCTTTCCAGGAGTGGAGGGTCTTTCACCGTCATTCTCATCTGACGAGCTCTGATATTCTCTGACAAATATGTCGCCACGAAAAAACTGCTCAGCAGATGACGTTTCCTTTGGTGCTTCAGGCACTGGTTCAGGCTTCTCTTTAACGAGTTTTTCCTTTTTGGCAGAAGTCACAGATTCTTCTTCACTGTCTGAAAATATGGACTTGGATAGTTTCTGCAAATCTTTTGGTCCTTTCCTTGTTACTGATGAGCTTTCTGATTCACTCTCCGATTCTGAGTTTGTAACATTAGCTGGTGAAAGATGCTTGGCTGCACGCGGTGACTTTGATTTTGATCTTCCACTACCTTTACTCTCCTGGCGTGAGATTCGCTTTGTTTTAGTTGGTGGTACGACAGGAGCAGGTGGCACTTCGGGATCTTCCACACCAGTACTGACTGAAGCACCTTTACTATTGACCCCTTTGAGGTTTTCCGCAGCCTTCTTTGCCGCTTGCCGCATTGGTACATAAGGTAAAATTTCTGGAGGCTCAAACATGTTCTTTTTGGGAACATCACTTCCTTCAGTTTTTAAATCATCAACAGCTTTATCATTTTTATCCTTGGTAATTTTCCCTTTTCTTCCTTTAGTTGGCGTTACTTTCTTTTCATCAGACAATTTTCTTTCTTCAATGATTTCAGGCTCTTCAGATTCTTCCTTCACCTCTTTAACTTGTTTTGCACCAACCTTCTTTGCCTCAGCTGTTGTTGTCTCTGCAGGCGTTGATGATGCAACAGCCACAGCAGTGGTCGCAGAGGTACTCGTTGTGTTCTGACTAGTGATGAGTTCCGACGCCTTCTTAGCAGCCTTTCTCTGCGGAACAAACAAATGACCAGAAGTAGCTTCCACTTCACTGCCCTTTGTGCTACTAAGCTCTGAATCAATTTCTTCTGCTTGTTTTGTCTCGTTTTTACTTTTGTCAACAACAGCCGTCTTTTTGACCGTTTTGCCACTCTTATCACTTTTCTTTTTGTTCATTCGCTCAGCCTTTGCTTCTATCTTTGGAGTAAACTCCTTCTTAGCTGCCTTGGTTTTCAATGTTGCATGATTTTGAGAATCTATGGTACTTTCCTTATTTTCATCATCACTATTCACATCACTATCACTTAAAACAGTTTCACCCTTTTTCTCACGTTTCTTTGGTCCTTTACTTAAAGCCGTATTGCGACCATTATCAGAACTGCTATCTGTCCGGTCACTGACACCACACGCATCACTAACAACAGCCGCTGGATCATTACTCTTTTCACTGTTGTCCTCATCACTAGATAGTTTGTATGTTGGAGGACCTAACTCATCATCATCACTTAACTCTAACTTAGGAGGTTCACATGCCGGAGAACTCACACTTACGGGTTCAATTCCCACTGCACCTTTCCCCCACTTTCCTTTGCGATTGGGCTTTTTCTCTTTAGACGGAGTAACTGTGACTGCAGGCTCGTCCTCACTGCTCACACTAGAGTCAACCTTGGGAGGTGTCACCTTTTTCTTATTTCTTCTTTTACCGGGTTGTGGTTTCGGTTTACTAACCGTCTCTGTTTCATCCTCAGAACTTTCTACAGGAGGATGCTCCCTAACTGTTTTAGAGGATGACGCATTTGTTTCACTTTTTATAGTTTTTTCTATCAGGGCATCAAAATCTTTTGTATCTTTATCATCACTGGATGCGGGAATACGATCCCTGAAGGACGCACTTTTGATGGCATTGGCTCGACCACTGCCTCTTCTTCTTCTCCCAACTCTTCCTCTCACCGACACACTGCCACTTTCAATCACAGGCTTCTCCTTGTCACTGCTTTCCAAGGATGTGAGTTTGCACTTACTCGACGCTGGCTCATGTTTGATGGAGTGGTTCTCCTTATTCATCTCCTCCTCACTGCTGGTGTAAACAGAATAACGTGCATTGCCCTTTGGAGGGGGAATCCACTTATTCATTGCTAGAGAGGAATCCGAGTCACTGGTGCTACACAGAGAACTAGAACGAGAGCGCCGCTGTTCGGCGCCATTAACGTACAGCTTCTTATATGGATTGTCGGATTTTTCCTTCTTAGGTCTAATGAGCCCATTCACATCTTTCTTCAACGGTGGTTTTCTACTCTTGACCTTCTCAGTTAAAGTGCCAGCAATGCACGCAACAATCTTCTCAAACTGCTTCTGGGTGTGAAGAGGGGCGGTGTGGTGAGAGTAGAGCTGGTCATAAACAGAGTGGCCATGATTGGCTTCCATTACCGCTTCTATTTCCTGAGGAGTTAGGTTCATGCTATTGCTGCTTAAGAGGGACACTTGCTTGGAAAACGTCTGCTCACGAATCTTGATGAACGATCGTGATAGTCTTTCCCGACGATTCACCATGTAACACAGATTACGAACCTGAAAGAAAGAAAATGTTAGAAAATCAAGCTTTACTACATGACTCACATATACAGTATATCAATTACACTTTATTATTGAATCTTGAATGAATAACTCTCTCATTTTATCACTCTGCACAATTATGTTGGCATTCGCAATATTAATAAGAATTCACAAAAGGCAAATAATTTCTATATTTAAATTTAGCTTAAACAACTCCAAGGTAAATATTCCCATGCATGCTAGCCAGTGAAAGTCCAAATATTTCCATATTATATAAATGCTACCACTATTTACATTTTGAAATGGATTTTAATCAATACCCATCGTGTGCGTTAAGAAACCACTTAAGCCATGAAATGCATACCCTCTCCAGGTATTGGCGTAACTGCACAAACATCTTCATGCGTTCGATGTCGTGCTCCTGCTGATGAGATAGAAGGTCGATTTCTTCGCTGCGTGGTGTCAGCAGCGGCTTGTTGAAACTTGCCTGCAAAGAAAGCAAATTAATGAAGACGAGGAGTCACAATAACGTGGCTGAACTATGTTGACCATACCACACACACACTATAAAGTAAAGGGACAATGTTTCGGTCTGTCCTGGACCATTCTTAAGTTGATTGTTGCTTACACAATCGACTTGAGAATGGTCCAGGACAGACCGAAACGTTGTCGTCCGTTCACTTTCTAGTGTGTGGTTTGGTCAACAAAGCAAATGAACAATTTTGGTTGTGTGTAAAAACATATTGGCTCCAAATGTGTCATTTAACAGCAACTAACTATGTGCACAGAATTCACCAGTAAGTACCTAGAGCTTCAACAAATTCTGAAGTGTTTGAACATCTTTTCTTTAAGTAACTTTGTAAAGGAATGCAATGAGAGATATTGATTGATAACCAATGCATATACAGTATATGGTTTGATATGCTACTGTATGGTATTTGCATTACTATATGTATTGTATGTTACTGTAGGGTAATGTATGTTATTTTGGTAAACCCCCTTCTTCTTCTGGACCTACTATATGTGACTAGATAAGTGAATATCTGAGACAGACGGACAAAAACTGTCATAACGAGAAAGGAAATGTGAGAGCAGAAGGCAACAGGAGGGGAATGTTTTGCATCATTCAGTCTTTGGATCCCTGCTGTTGCTGAGCTATGTGCATAAGCTACCCTAGGGAGTAAGCTTCGTGTCACTGCTTGCAAATGATGTAAGCCGGATGCATGGACTAAACCACGGACTCGAGATGATTGCAGGCTGCTGCAAAAGGACCTAAACAAACTACAAGATTGGGCAAATGAATGGCTACAAGAACTCAATCCAGGTAAATGAAATATAGTGACAATGGGGGATAAGAAAAGTAAAGAAAGGCATTATAAAATAAGATTGAGGAACCTACAGAACTTGACAAATGAGAAAAAACAAAGCGTGGATTTTCTCCAGTATTTTGTATGCAGCTATCTTGAGTTATCTTGAGATGATTTCGGGGCTTAGCATCCCCGCGGCCCGGTCCTCGACCATGCCTCCTTTTTGTTACACATCCCCAGGAAGCAGCCCATAGCAGCTGTCTAACTCCCAGGTACCTATTTACTGCTAGGTAACAGGGGCATCAGGGTGAAAAACCTTTTGCCCATTTGTCTCCGCCTCCACCGGGGATCAAACCCGGAACCTCAGGACTACGAATCCGAAGAACTGTTCACTCAGCTGTCAGGCGCCCCAGCTATCATATTCTCCCGGTTTCATCCCTGCTCTAACGTTCTGAGATCACTAATTTTGTTACAAACCTTGGAACTTTTTAAGTTAAGTTTTGTGCATCACATGTGTGGAATTCATGCCATGATGTGTATGTTAGTAGTGACCCCACAGTGGCTATGTAGCTTGTCTTGAAAGAATCCTCGTTTGTTTTGTAAACAAACAAGGATTCATGTTATCATTCATGTTTTGGCCCATATGGTGGCAATGATTACTTATCAGCGACAACAGGAGTCACGCTACCTATCCTCTAGAATAATTCTGCAAAGGATTTTATATCAAAATAAAATTTTACATCAAAATCCCCTTCGGACAAAATATATTGCAATATAAATCATAGCGGCTTTTAACCACGTTTTCTACATGCGAGACATTAGTCAGCTAAGTTCGGGCACGTTAGTACATTATTCTTGCGACGTTGTGACAACTCCAAAGGACAGGTTGAGATGAGACCCAGTCAGGGATGGATTAAGACCTTTAGAGGGCCCAAGCACTGAAAAGATTGTGGTAAGGTGTACCCCCACATACCACATATGTAATTCAAAATAAAAACAATATTAAACCATAAAATATATATATTCTAATGAATTCTAATGAAATATATATATTCTAATGAATAAATACCATTATTTGTATGAGCAAAATGCCAATTATTCCATTGCTTTCTTGCCTTGAAGATGCATAGCATTTTAACTTACACATATCAAAGATGCCATATAATGCTTACTGTTGCTTAATTATAACTTTACATATACTACAAAAAAAATTCCTGCATTTTAGAAATGCAAATTTTTTAATCGTTATCTTAAAAATTAATGTGCCGCGCACTTCACTCACAAGTGACGCTTGACAAGTATTGCTGTACTGAACACGTTCTAAAGCAAGCCGAGGTTGCTCTGAGGACCACGTGGTAGTTGCCAAATTCCACTTTTGTTGTATTCCCTAGACAAAAATATATTATTAACATTCCTTAATAATATAATTACAGTACAGTATATTAATATTTTTTTCATTTATCGTAGGGCCACAATGTCATGGGTCCTGGTTCAGCTGCAACATTGCACTACGGGCCATTGCAAATCTGGCACAACCCTGGAAACACAAACCGTAACTGTCTCTATTTCCGCTTGTTACAACTTGTAATAAAGTTGTTACATCTTGGCTTAACGTATTTATGACGTATTAGAACATTGTTACAATTTGTTATATTGGTTGTTATAACTGGTTAGGTGTTAAAACTTGTTCGAACGTTGTACCAACGTCGTAGTTTCGGTGTTTGGCGGCAACAAAATAACTGTGTGGGGCCGGTCTTTACTTGAGGCCCTAAGCACGTGCTTAACTGACTTAATGGTTAACACAGGACTGGACCTAGCTCATTATACCATGTGCCTTAGCTTTTTATATCTTGCGCAATAATTACATCTCTGCATGTTCTAGTTCACGTCGTAATTTTTCTTGAGGTTTTGGATGAAAGTGACTTCAACAACTTCCTCCTTGAATGAATTCATCTTGTCAACGTGGGTGTTAGAATGTCCTTATAACTCGATTGCATGTTCAGCTGCCACTAATGTCCCCTTGTCCTACCTCGTCTTAATTTAAATAGCACTCTTGTTCCCCTATCCTATTCCCCCGGTCGGGAATTTCTAGGGAGCCGGTCGGCCGAGCGGACAGCACGCTGGACTTGTGATCCTGTGGTCCTGGGTTCGATCCCAGGCGCCGGCGAGAAACAATGGGCAGAGTTTCTTTCACCCTATGCCCCTGTTACCTAGCAGTAAATAGGTACTTGGGTGTTAGTCAGCTGTCACGGGCTGCTTCCTGGGGGTGGAGGCCTGGTCAAGGACCGGGCCGCGGGGACACTAAAAATCCCCGAAATCATCTCAAGATAACCTCAAGATAACCCCCTCAGCTTCTTACATATTTCTTCTCTAAGGTTGTGAGCTTGAGTTACCTTAACCTCTTCTTATGGCTGAGCCCTCGGAATTCTAGTGCTAATCTAGTTGCCAACCTCCGTATTCTGTGGTGTTTGTTGTGTTAATTGTTGGTGGAATTTTAAATATCGTTATTCATTTACTTATCTTTGGCTTACTTGCCTTTCAGGAGGACACAGTCTGGCCTTGAACCATACTACCTGGTGACTGCCTCATCGGCCAGACAACTGATGCAATTAAATTAGCTCCTTCAAAAATCACTCCAATTATATATTGCAAACTGGCCAACTAGGCATTTAGATCTCACTATTATACACTACTGTACACTGCAGTTAGAACCACCACCAAATAATACAATTCGTTAAAAGGCATAGTCACTTACCCGTCTTTTAAGCTTCCAGTAATTAAATATAGTTTCTGTGGTTTCAAAATCTATATCTAGGAAGTTTGAAGTTTCAAGGACATCGACATGCTTGAAGAACTCCGACTCTATCTGCCGCAATTTTGCAGCACGCGCCTGGTTCTTTTGCTCCGACGTCCAATCTTTCTTCTTTTTAGGGGCACCCTCATCGCCTTCCTCACTTTCTGCATCCTCTCCTCCAAGTTTCTTGCTGGACACACTGTGCTTCTCACAATATGACTAGAAATAAGAAATACACGTGTGTAAAAACACAGCACCATATACCTAGGCCTATGCAATATATACCTAAGCCTTGATTCACTTACTAGTTTGCTCCTTCCCTCACTTGCCCCACTGACTCTACTCACTTCCTTAGTGGCTTGTTCACTCCTTCACTAGTTGGTTCACTTCATCACTAACTCACTCCCTCAATGACTCGATCACACATTCCCTCACTGACTCAATCACACACTCCCTCACTGACTCGATCACACACTCCCTCACTGACTCGATCACACACTCCCTCACTGACTCAATCACACACTCCCTCACTGACTCGATCACACACTCCCTCACTGACTCAATCACACACTCCCTCACTGACTCGATCACACACTCCCTCACTGACTCGATCACTCACTTTTACTGACTCATCTACAGCCCAGAAATATATTTAAAACCACAGAGGACTGACCACCCTAAAAATGTTTATAAAAATTTGCAAACTCTGCCACTTTCCAACCACATATGTACTACTGGTACTAATGAACTGTAGACTACCTGTAGATGTCACAATGCAAAATACAAGTTAACGGTGTCAAATCTTCCTTTGTGCTTTCTAAGAGGGCCACCCGCAGTGACTCCCTAACAGTAACAGGAATCCACTGAGTTACCAGAAAGAGTCATCTCATTACTCTCAATGCTAAATTTGTAAATGTTAGTGTTAATAAAACCATGTACATTCAAGTAAATGTTATATGATCTTCGGCAAATCAAGAATGCCAGTACACCAGTTGACTGACAGTTGAAAATTACACCCCGACAAGCACAATTATTTAAGAATATTTACTTGCCAAAGAGAGAAAGTAACATGGAGAAAAGTCAAGACACTTACTCTTAGCTTGACTCCGTCATCAGCACTTTCGTCCTCGATGATGGCTTTCATCTCCAAGCCATGCTTGAAGGCACAGGTTACATGGTAAGCCGTTTTGCAGGTTTTGACGGAACATTGTATGCAGGCACCACGACGTTCTCGGCACAACACGCAAACAAGCGCCCATCGACTTTGCTGCAATTCAAGTAAGAATTTCGTAACACTTTAGGAGGAATGAATGTATTTTTGACAAGCACAGGATTTACTTTGCATAACATCCTAAGATGCATAACCTGCAGATTCTTCAATGAAAGATACAATAGCTAATAACATATATATATATATATATATATACTATTATATTTACATGATTTTTCTATATTGATAAATTATTTATCTCTATGAAGTTAACTGACAGATTTTAACCTACCACCTCAAAGCTGTCTTGAACACCCTCCCATTAGAATATTATATCATACTTTATAATATATAAATGTAGTATATTACACATTCAAACTGAAGGGCTTAATACTGTACTGTATATACAGTATTTTACAGAAACATTTATATAGAAAAAGTGCCTAATAGCAGCTCAGTTAAAAGAACCCAACACTATAATTACTGTACAAGTCCTTGTCAAACTCGGTTTTGACTGCCAGCATCTTAAGGCTTTCCTGGTTCAAGGTGTTGGGCATTTGGATCTTGCCAAATATGTTGTTATTTTCTCGTCCACCTCGTTTATTCATTGGCTTCTTGTTTATTCAAGCCCATCTAGTTTATTCATTGGCTTCTTGTTTATTCAAGCCCATCTAGTTTATTCATTGGCTTCTTGTTTATTCAAGCCCATCTAGTTTATTCATTGGCTTCTTATTTATTCAAGCCCATCTAGTTTATTCATTGGCTTCTTGTTTATTCAAGCCCATCTAGTTTATTCAAGCCCATCTAGTTTATTCAAGCCCATCTAGTTTATTCAAGCCCATCTAGTTTATTCATTGGCTTCTTGTTTATTCAAGCCCATCTAGTTTATTCAAGCCCATCTAGTTTATTCATTGGCTTCTTGTTTATTCAAGCCCATCTAGTTTATTCATTGGCTTCTTGTTTATTCAAGCCCATCTAGTTTATTCAAGCCCATCTAGTTTATTCAAGCCCATCTAGTTTATTCAAGCCCATCTAGTTTATTCAAGCCCATCTAGTTTATTCAAGCCCATCTAGTTTATTCAAGCCCATCTAGTTTATTCAAGCCCATCTAGTTTATTCAAGCCCATCTAGTTTATTCAAGCCCATCTAGTTTATTCAAGCCCATCTAGTTTATTCAAGCCCATCTAGTTTATTCAAGCCCATCTAGTTTATTCAAGCCCATCTAGTTTATTCATTGGCTTCTTGTTTATTCATTGGCCTTCTTCCCCTCACTTGAGAGCACATGAAGGTGTCAGCTTCAACTGAGGGTCAGGATCAAACAAGCACTCTTGATAACAAATTGGTAAAGTTTCCAACCTCCAACCCCTTCCTAAGGCACGTCTGAGTGAGGACCAAAATCTTTTAAAAACCATGACATAACATGGAAGAGGTGGGGAAGAAGAAGGCACACTTGACAAGATTTGAGCAGTATTGCCCTGCCAATAGTGAAACGTCAACACAAATTCAACGAACTACGTAACCATATCCACTAAGGAGAGCAGGATCCTGCAATGCATCTACTTGAGCAAGCAGCATAAGCAGCCAGCTGAGATGATGGATCGTGCAATGTCCTACACATGGCAGACATGACAAAAGGAAAGAAAGATTTATAGAGGAATCTAAGTCCCTTAAAGAAGATATCTCAGCTGGGAAAGGGAGAACAATCCAACAAACCAGAGCAGAAAGAAGATTCCAGACCAAAGTCAGAGCAAAATAGTAAACTGGAAACACAAGGTTGATTCCATAAAACTCAATCATGAAGTGTAAAGAGGAAGAAAACCAGTGGCTTTACAGTGAACAAAAGGTCCAGGGAGAACCATCTCCACTCCCCTGTGCCAGGAAATAGAAAATGAGTTCCAGCAGAAGCCATTTGACCCTCACAGTATCAGACAAGTGAGGCGGAAAATAAGTCACAATAATATGGCTGAAAATTAGACACCCAACAGATTTGAAATTTTTTTTTTACAATGATTTGGTCCATCCTGGACCATTATCAAGTCATAATTATGACGTATGTCATCAATAATTATGACTTATGTCACCAACATGTCATTAATTCTTTTATTTTCATAGCTGTGAGTTGGGTGTCTAAGTAGGGTGGGTTGCACGCCGGGACCCCGATGCATGAACTGCAACCTAATCTATTCAGCAAATGAATAAACGTCAAACATATTACACAGCTCACCGGTATGTTAGGGATCTTTGTGATAGGTTCCATCCTTTCGACCGAACCAATCGACACTTCAGGAATCCAAAGAGCACATGCCACATGAGCCCATTTTTGTCCAGATTTAGTGGACTTCATGGCACCTCCTGTTGATATAAAATAAATTATTAGTACACACATCATTAAACAAATTAAGAAAAGGTATACTGTATTGTAATCAATTACCAACACCTTCTCTGCCTGCAAATCTTAATACCGTGGTAGCAATACTGTATGCTACTGTAATAATTGTGTTAGTGCACAAATAATATAAATGCTATAAGCTTGTTAGAAAAAGGAAAAGAAATTAATTCCTTAAAGTTCACTTGTCGTGGCACAAAGATAATAGAAAAGAACCCAAAGACGCATCAGTGGAGAGTCAATGTACTGTACTTGCTTGTTCAACTGGCAAGTTACAACCACTAATCCCAAGAGATGTGCATAGATGTATAGTTTAGATGTATAGTTTGTATAGATGTATAGATGTGCATAGATGTATAGTTTGACTCCCAGCTACAAATGGAGAAGGTAAATACTTAATGCGTCCGTGCTATGAAACCTTCAAGTACAAAAAATATATAGAATTACTGATGCCGAGGATGGAGAAAAAAAAAAAAAAGAGTGCATAATGAAATGGTGGCACTGATATTCACCATAAGACACACAATTAAGAATGGAAAAGGTTACAATATTTATTACAAAAATCTGAATAAGTAAACCCCATACATATAATATAATCAGCAGAGCAAATTAACCCATAATACCCGGCTCACATTCCTAGCTAGACCAGGCAAGAGAAAAATGTCTACATTTAGTAAAAAGGCAAAGAATGCCATTTAGCTATAGGTGATCAGCCCAGGGAGGAGACCATCACGATACGCCACTCACTTTACCCTAACCCACTACTCATATTACATTATAGGACAAGTAACACCCCCACTTAAATGATGAAATCACAATAATGTGATGAATTTATGAGGAAATATTGAAGCTGTATGATGGAATCGAGCCTGAATCCCTAAATTCCTCAGGCACATACACTACCACTTAACGATGATGGGCTTAAATATACTTCTGGTTCGGATACTCTTAGACCTATCGTGGTTCAGACCGTAGTGCACGTGCCTGAAGATTTCAGGAATGGAGGTTTGATTCCATCACACCGCCTAAATGTTTATTAAGCCACCTGAGGTATCAAGCTACATGTGACACCCTCATCTAATGACTCACCATACATGAAACTAGTGTTAAATGTAACAAAACACCTTTTTCGGGACGGTTCTTGCTGGCTACTCGATGCTTGTTATATGGCAAACTCCATCCAACTCCATCCAATTCAATCCATGCCCAGCCTTTGTGAATCCTGTAAACCTACTGGAGACTAGATGACAAAACCTGGTCCCCTTTAATTAGTGAGGCACAAGGGGAAGGGGAAATCTTAGCTCACCCTAACCAAAGAAAGGCCAGCTTGACAAACTAAACCATACAAACAGTAAGGTAAACAAACCATAGAAAATAGGACTGAAAATCCGGGACTCATGAACTACCCGTTCATGAAGCAGCTCAGCCAAGGCTTAATGATACATGGCAACAATATTCAGCCTGCGAAGCCTGTCCATCAACAATAGGACTGCAGGCACAGAAGTCAAGGCTGATGGAAGGTGCACCAAGAAACATCATACTGTCGCTGTACCAAAATCTGCAGGTAAGACACCAAAAGACTGCCTACCTCTAGGCAGTACAAACAGCATTACACAAGAGCATTATGCCAAATATGTTGATGGGCAGAGTACCTCAAACCATTGAGAAACATCTCTGGGATTATCTGCTAAAAAAGGTGGAGCCACAGAAAACGACACAAGTTCAGACAACGCGTTCATAAGGCTGGAAACCATGGTTAGGCTAGCCATAAGGGAGCCATCAGGAGAGCCTTGTCAGAGAAAGTCTCTAGTCTATAAGAAACCTGGAGCAACAGATGAACCAGAGGAAAAGATAAAGAAACACCATACCAACCGCAGTCCAGTCGGAAGGCACCCACAGTGAGAGCCTCGCAATCAGGGAAGGGATCACGTTAACTAGAAGCCACCGGCTCCATGCCGAAAAAAAAGATCCACCTCAAGTTAGCCAAATGCCTCACAAAACCAATAAAAGGACATATCGTCGACAGTCTACCATTTGACAATGGGTCAAAAACAAGTGAAGCCATGTGCCAAAATGCTCGACATGTCCTGAACACAAACCAAACATAAGAGTCAAACCCGGAGAATCCAGAAGACGAGCGACACTTTGCTTTTGGGATCCTTACCTGATCCTGGTAAGGATCCTAAAGCAACCAAATACACACCGTGTTGGGCAGGAGAGAAAGAAAAGAAAAAAAAGGAAGAGAAAGAGGTGAAGAGGATGGACCCCCCCCCCACTTGATAAAGACTCAACCCCTCTGGGCACGAGGTGATTCCGTAAGAGAAATGTCATGATGACAAATGTCATAGGTCCTAAGGCAGTGTATTAACACTGTAGGTGGTAGTAACCTATGGCTATTGGAATATAAGATTGATGGCCATCCAACAAACTCTCACCTTGTGAGAGCAGAATTAGAGGGCTGGTCCATAAAAAAACCCTGAAAGCTGCAAAAAGCTTGCCAGATACGATGGGGCAGAACAAGCAGGAAACACCAGGAACAGGGGGCTGGACGCCAAATATGTATTACGAACACCAAAAACAGCCTAATGACATAGGTGGCCGTTAAAGGGTTTGAGTGCCATGGCAAATAACAAGGAAGCTAACACCTTGTGTGACCCATGTGCAAAAACCCTTCCAACCTGAAGCCAGCCTCTCACACAGCCACGCAAACCCACCAAAGAAGACTACTCTGGCTAGGCAGGAGCAACCCCAGCAAACACTTGGAGATGAACATTCTAGGCAGGTGCAGTTCGAGGTGAACAGTTAATCGGTCACACAAGAAGCGAGGCATAAAAAATACACATCGTGAAGCAAACACTTAAAACATGTAACAAATACATAAGCAAAAGGCCCCCTGCATAACAGAAGAGTGTCCAGGATAGCCAGCACTTATCTGAATAGCCTGGACTTGAATAGATGCCAGAAATGAGGAGCACAGCAGTGTACATAAAAAATGTAAGGGCCAGACAATAAGTGACGTGTCAGGGTTGGTGGATCGAAGAGGAAGGTGCACAGTCCACTGGTGTGCACAGGTGGTATGAGAGAACTGAGAGAGAACTGAGAGAGAAGGTGAGAACTGCTTCATGAACGAGTGGTCATGAAACAGTTCTTGGAACCTCACTGTCCCATTTTCTATGCGTTGTTTACCTTGCTGTTTGCATGTTTTAGTTCGCCCACCTTTCAGGTAGTCTTTTCTTGGCTACTAATCTAGCATCGCCCATTCCTTGTGCCTCTTTAGAAGGAACCGAGTTTTGGCCTCGGGTCCCCGGCGGGCTTATATAACTCACAAAGTGCCTCCCGTGAACTGAATTGGGTGGAACTATCCAGGTAGCAAGCACCAAGGAGCCACCAATAGGAGCTCTCCCAGAAATTTTTGTATACAATCTTTGCCAATTGATAAAACTGTCCAAAAACTAGTGCAATGTTTGTAATTAATGTCTTGCTTATTTTGCCAATAATGTGCCAATATCTTTGAGTAATTTATATGGGACAAAATAAAATGAGGAAAATGATTGATGTGAAGAGGACAACTCAACTTTGGAAGCCTGCGTAATCACAAAGTATTATGCTTGGCAAAATAAGTTGTTTAACCACTTGACTCAGTTTATTCCACCAATCGTGTATTTTTTCCAAATTTAAAGTCCGCAGATAATTTTGGTTTGAAGCGTATTTGAACGGCTGCTTCAACACTTCTGGTTACTCTAAAGAAACTAACGCAAGAATATTCTTCCATGCTACTAGCAAGTACCTTGACCAATTCAAGGAAGTGTTGTTGATAACTACATCAACCATGCTCTTTCAGACACCTCCAGTTAGAAGCAGGATGATGATGAATTCAGTAGAGGGAGACATCCTTGTAAACAATGGATACGCTAACGGATATGAGGAAGAGGTTGTAAACAAAAAAAAAGTTAACTACAATGCTACAAACTGATGAAGTTAACACTACAGAACCTGTCCCACCTATAAAACTCAATTACAGGAAGTAGTATTCTACGGCTCACAAAGATGGAGAGAAAGAGTCCTCAAACACTTACATTAGTTGACAAACAGTAAACATGAGATACAACTGACCATTTACTACAAGAGTGAGGAGACCACTAACTTGTTCATGAAGAACTTTCCAAACAAATGCAATGCCCTGAAAGAGACTAATGTTGTCTTTACATTTACATGCCTCTTTGAGGACCGTCAGTCCCAATGATCTCAATATACAGGCAAGACATCATCATCTCTTCCAAGGAGCATAACTATGAACAAACAACAAGGCTCTATCAAAGATCACATCACTTCTACACAACCAGACCATCACCAGAAATAATCTGACCTGCAACACCAAAATAATCAATAGATACAGCAACAAAAGGAACTTGGACATAGCAGAAGCACATTACATCAAACACACTCATCCAATTATCAACAGCCACCTCATACCTAGGTACGTCCTTTCATTAGCCGATCAATGAGAATGCAGGACCAGATTACCTTGTCCTCACAACACGGTAAACCATCTCGCTTCTCAGCACACCCGAATGGATTATACACAGCTGCGTTGTTCTTTTGTATTCACTTTCCCTCTGCCTCTCACAATGCTAAGATAAACTTGCGTAATGCGTCCAGCCCATTATAAGTATAAAATGAACTTTGGAGAGCTCATTTTCAACTTCCATCCCAAGTGAAGAAGAACCTAAGATAGACAGACAGACAGATATATATGTAGTGATAGAGATGTTAAATTTAATGAAAATTATAAGTATTTTTTAAATATGAACCAAAAACTAACTCAGAAGCCTTACCTAATACAATTATCCCTATTAATTTTAAAATTTACCCTAAAGTAGGTAAAACTAGTTAAAGTTAATAATAAATATAATCCATATACAGTAATGTGTTATTTTTATTAACTGAAGCCTAGTATCAGATATAT